CGGCCTACGCCGGTAACTTCTAAGTGGATACGATCAAAGATTGATCCTCCAGCGGTCCAACGGCCTTACAGCCCGGCAATAGAGCCTACACCCCATATCTCTGAACCGACGCGAATGAACATGCCATATCCTGGAAGAGCTACCAGGTAAGAGAAAACGAACTGACAAAGCCGTCGCTAGGCTTAGCCTCTCTAGATCCTCTCCCCATACATTGTGACTCGGGAACGAGGGGCACGAGATGGGAATCAGGGAATTTTTCTCCGAAACCTCTCTCGGAAATGAGAGAACTGAGAACACAAGTCCTTCACAACATCAGGCCGTCCTTCAGCCCGCTTTGCTACGGGTGGAAATTCAACCTACACCTGGCCATCAAACCCCGACCACTCCGCCAAACTCGGTGCATCTTCAAGTTGACATCTATCGGGGACAGGGATGAACTGAGTACGTCCGTTATATCAACACATTAGAAGACCACTTTGCTCAGCACCGTGACTATTTTACCGAGGCTCGCAAAGTAGAGTTGGGGAGAAGATACATCTCGTCCGAGCTAAAAGGTGAGTCGTCAGGTCAGACCAACCACCTTGAGAGTATCACGTGGATGTCGTTTTTTACCCTTTTGGTTCAAAGATTTCCACGACGAAACGCAATAAATGAACAAATCATTGAATGTATCCAAGGTGCTTGCCAGAAAACAGCCCAAACCTGTGACCCGTTTTGCCTTATGGCTGATTCAATGGGAGCCTATCACTCATACACCAGTCGAGATTTCGGGGAATTTGTGCTGAAAGGGGCGTTACCCGAGATTAAATTTCAGGTGGAAAAGTCTTATACGCTACCTCCGGACTATAATACGTCGGTTTCATATTCGCAAGGGATTAAAAACGCACTGCCGGCCCGAGCGGGAGTGATCTCATCACGCAAGAAAATAATCGTTTCAAAGGGTGATTGATAGTCAAGAGGTGCTGGTTTACTTCGTAAGCAACTGGTCGGAATATCAACAATTCGTATCTCGGTTACAAAGGTATTTTGAGCAATGCGGAAGACTATACGAAGAAGCACTCATCATTGATGTCGGCAGGAAGCATCTCTCGCGTTTATTGCGCGAAAGATAGGATTTGCATGCTGCCCGCCTAAAAAAGATCAACTGGTTTGCATTCCGCGTCTTTCTGGTGGAACAAATTCCTTTCAAAGGCCCAGAAAAGAAGTACCGGGATACATATCAAAGAGAGAACCAGCCTGTGGATATCTTCGCTCTCGAGCTGCTCCGTTGGGTCCTGGATGACTTAGGTGCAGCGCACGACTGCCGGAAGCATCTGTCGGAACGAGTGCTCGAAGAACTTGGGTCAGATGCAAATGGCAGTTCAGGCTTGAAGGACTTTGATGAGTTTCACTTGTTCGTTGCTCATCTGCGGCAAATTCAGGACTCTCCCCTCTCTCCCGATCCACCTATCACCGAAGCGCCGACGTGTCATTATGAACTTTTGACTATAGTACCATAGTGAGATTCTCACAGGGTAGATTACGACCTGCTTCTTTTTGAAAAAGGACTTGAAAATTGAACTACCTATTGCACAAACGCGTTTTGCGCAGCGTTATGCCTCCTTGGTTGACCGATCAAAGGGTAGCTAGGAGCATTCGTGTCGATACATTGTAGTATCTGTCATGTTCATGGAATTTCTCTTTTAGAAGCCCACCCATATTTTGACCTCGTCTGCAAACAAGCCCTCGCTACAGCATCCTATACAGTCAGCCATTGGGGTGACTCTGTTGAGATATCGGCTCAGCAAGCCTGAGGCCTCAACATATCCGAATTCATGCGCGATGTCCAGGTAGGGCTCGTTGGATACTCTGTACCATGGAACTATTATAGATCCATCGCACTCTCGCTTAGTGTATTTCTACTACTACTAATAGCTGTACATGTACATCTTTAGAGAGTTGAGAATGAAAACATCTCGTTGAATGACATACAATTCTTGCCAAGGATCCCTCTTTAGCTAGACATTACAACAGCAGCCACGCCGCAGCCTCATTCCCTGATGTCATGGCGCGCTAAATCGTGGGCCTCCCGCTCCCGCCCAATACCAAGTGTCCACTATCTACATTTGGTAATTCTGATATTGGTCAACACGTTGGTGAGAGACCCATTGCCAAGTGTTCAGGTCTATGAATTAGCATGATGTCTGGTTTCAGTTTGCACAAGCCTCAAATCACTACTCAGATATCCAGTAGGAAAGAAACGGTGTTCCCAGGATTCCTAGTGATACATCTGCCAATCTCAAAAATATTTCTCATTAATCTGACTAGTTCTATCGAATCGGAGACTGTATGCCAATTCCACCAAGTTACCAGGTTAAGAAACAGAAATAGCTCACGGGCTATGGATAACGTACATTGATACATCTATCGTATGAGTAAGATGGCGAGGAAACCTTTGCCCTTCGCCCGCGAGGCGTTGAAAACTCCCCTTCACCATCAACGCACCATCAAAATCAATGTCATTGCCCGCTAACGCCACCTTTATTAACCAAATCCTTATAATGTTTGTTTCCTGTCTCATGAAGTATTATGGACCTGTTATTTGAACACACCGCGCCGACCATAAATATGTTCACATTTTCGTGTCTGCTCGCCTCGGGTTTTAGATACACAATTTTCCTTTTCTTAGCGAGTGCCAAAGTTGAGGACCTCAATATTTTTGGATGATCAAGTAATAAAGCCTTTCATCCAAGGAAGACTTTCTTTTTCTTTGCACAAGCTCTATGACCTGTTTCAAGAAACCCTGTCCCATCAATTTCAAAACATTGCCTGTCCGGAGTGCTACAAAATCCTCAATGACAATTCAAGTTATCGATATGGAAGCCAGCCGTTGCGATTCAAAGCCCCGACGCGCACTACAATATCAGCCCGTTCAGACTAATGGCTCTATCGACCCAAAAATCCATTTCTGCGGCAGCGGAATTCTGCTTTGCTTTATTTTCCATATAATTTGGTGTTCTTCATCAACAAGCAATGCTACTACGGCATTGGTTTCTCTGTTATCCAATCTCTTTTGTTTTGGCACTTCTGCTTGTTGTCATTACTTGCTTGACTCGGGGAAGCAGGTTTCTTCCTTCTTCCTGCTGGACCATATCGGAATTGTCCTGCACGTATGGGGAACGTCCGTATCGGTCTTGCTCCTAGAGAATACTGGAAGTGGGAAACGGACTTCCATTATTCTGGGAATCACTCTGGCCGGGGTAATCTGTGCCATCTATTTGATAACCTGGCCAAGGGAGAAGAGAGAACGAGTGCTAGTCATTGGTGCATTTGGAGCATTGGCCCTATGCAGCGTCTCACTCTACAATGCTGTTTTTTCGAGCATGTCTCGACTGACGGCATCTTATATCTTCTTGGCTCTGGTCAATGGCATCGGAGGGTGGTTCTATTCCCGTGGGTCTATTCAATTGCTGAGTCAACGTTCGAGCAAGCCTTATACTGTTTCGGGGCATTCGTTGATGCATATATGCTCACTGTTTGCGTCAATTTTTCACATTTCAATTCTGGCTTCTTCTGTCTGTATCTGACAGACTTAAGTACCTGGGCGCACGAAAATCCAAATTTGTAGATTCCTCTGGGTGTTCAGAAAGCATTTTGGCTAAAATCAATACTACCGACCTGTAGTTTGTCTTGTGAGATGAGGCTGGTGCGGATCAAAGCCGCGCTATCGGAATTGCCTCCCGAAATGTCAAAATCTCGTGCATGGAAAAAGGAATCAGCCCATCAATACCGCGAGATTTTGCTACGGGCGGCTTCCCGCAAAGCTATTTGCAGTTAATGAAATTCAAAGCTCCTAAGAACTCTCAGAAAGTGTTACGACTTCAAAGTCCTATCCTAGAAAGAGCATCCGCAACTGGAGGGCAAAGCCTGACCGCCACCAATTGAGTTACAGCGGAAACTTTCGGGGATTAAGATGATCGACGTGTCTAGTGAAATTGGAAAGCCCAGATGACTTTTGGTGATCTTAATTTCAATCGGAGCTTCTATGGTGCCTGTGATGAACAATTTTCGATCCTCCTAGAAAAGAGCTATATGTTTCTAGCAACCCGAAGGTCTCTGCAACTCGGATTTTACGGAACAATGTTATTTAGGCAATTTTTCAGCCAATAGGTGTTGATCTCGTAGATGCCATGATTGCAGTCAGGTAAGTTTAGTCGCGAACACGTGAATCAATCAGCTGTCAAAGTGCCCCATTACCAAGAAAACACGCCTTCAGATTCCAGGCTCCTCGTCACAATTGAAGTGGCAACTGACGTCCTATGTTGGTTGCTAACTGGACCGAACCGGAAAACGAGTGCTGAAAGTGTGGTGTTGCTGCCGAAGAGTGGTTTCATGACTGAAAAGCTGATAATATATCTCATCACTTGACCGATATCCCTTGGTTGGCATGGCTGTTCCGACAAGAATCAATTAATTATAAATCGGATATGGGAACCAACTGAGCCACGAGATTATCGTTCCGTGATATATACTATATTCAGGTCCGACGACGGTTGAAGATTGACGCAATGCTGGCATTATTCACCCTTTGAACTTTGATAAATTACATATCTGTCAACCAAAATTCGCTTGTATATTTATCAGAGCTCTGAACGGGATATCACCCAAGCATGCTTCAATTAATCCATCACTGACGCCACTATCGCCCACATGAGATAAATCAAGGGCCCTAAACTAGGTCAATTGTGGAATATAGAGGAATCGCGTTGTCTAGACTAATAACACTCCCAAGTGGAGCGAGATAACGTAAAATCAATTCATTTCTAGATATGAACCAGGACCAGTCTACTACAACATTGATGAATTCCTTCTTGACTTTGCTGCAACCCCTCATCTATTTTGCACTCAAGACAGAGAATTTTAGAATAAAATAGAAACAGAAATTGGGAGCCTACAATGCAGTCAAAGGCATGGTCTGTACATTCCTAAAGCGATGCCTCTTTGCCAACTCTTCAGAGTCTTTACCAGGCTGCAGAACAATCGGGGGTAGGGGCGGTCTTAGTCGAAGATGACTCAGAAATCGATGGCGAAGTCTTCCGCGTTATCAAAGAGGAAGATGCCTCGGTGTAGGATGACTCGGTGGAGGACAGCTTGGTGGAGGACGACTTGGTGGATGGCGACTTGGCGGAAGATCCCAGGTCTGAAGCAGTCCACCGGCTGCCATGCTTGAGTCCATTGTCCAATGTATATGTCGAGTTGTCTCCCTGAAAATTGGAGAACGTGATCACCCCGGTTTTTTCGACCTTGACCCATGCAGTTGATGAATCGTTTTCCGTGCCGCAAGTCTCCGAGCCACGCATAGGGTAGCCTGGATGAGTGCTGTTGGCGACTTTGTCCAATCCTATTCATTAGTACATTTTCCCTGATCTGCATGCCAGAAGTTTACTTCCTTGAACATTCATCTCCATCAAGTTGGCTGAAGAATGCCGAAGACCCTGTGCAGCCATGATTGTCATAGGACCATATCGCGCATTTATTATCAAAATCAATGATCTCAAGAGTGCCACCGAGGGATGCCCGTGCATAGGCAATCGTGAGAATCACGATGAGGGAGAAATGCATTTTCTTTATCGTCCGGCGAGCGTGGAATGCTTGAAGATATCTCTTGCTGCGTCCTGTGCACTACTTGCTCTTGGTTCACGAATCTGGCGTTGTCTTTTTTGTGAATTTAATCAAAAAGATAGCGGAAGCAACGACTTTTATAGACTTCTATTGAGATCCCCTGGGCTTTCGGATTGCTCGTAGGGGAGGCGAATTTTAGTATGAGTATCAGTCATCTGACCAAAGTTGAGGTGCATCAGACCACTAATTTGCAAGCATGGTCGTTTATTGAGGTCAAAATCGCATGACCAATATGCCTTGTGTTTAGAATGTGTGGCCAATCAATTCTGAAATGATAATCCCCCGAATTGTGAGGTACTTCCTTTCAACATCTCACCAGATCCCACCTCACAACTCTGCTGAAAGCCAATTACCTGTGTTATTCCTATTTCGCATCATTGTGGCTTATAATTGAGGGCCGTGTATACATGGAGGACTGTTGAGGCGAAGGAAGCATGTAGAACCCTCCATAAAGCATATCAATGGCTAGAGATGTAGCCATATCTATTACCCTTCTCCATCAGTACTATGTAATTCATGACCCTCAACTTGGTTGTAGGCTGAAAAGCTTGTTTTCGCGACCTTCAGTTTTACATCTTTCGGAACCTCGAAAGGATGTACGTCCTCAAACGATCATCATCCTAATGGGAGACTTATCTGTAAGCGCCTACAAAATATCCAAAGGGCGCTAGGCAAGGGAATCATGGATCTTCTCGAAGCAAGTCACCAGTCTAGTCCAAAAGATTATGGAACCCAAGGGGTCGTCTTTTCGAGAGTCTCTTATCTATCACGTCACTATGGGAGACTTTAATTGATCTCTGCAGGACCATTGTGTTCCATAAGATGCATCAATATAGCAAACGAACTAGTACTGTATAGCTCCGGGAGATGTAATTTTCTTTTAACCATCGCTATCAATAAACCGGTCACATTCCATTCGACGGTTGTTTCGGTGCTGGGAGCACACATCTTGACCCCGGAAACTATGCCACTTCCAAAAGCCTGCAAGTTTTCCCATAAAAAAGGTACCTCTAGGAGCTCTTGCCTGAGTCTAGGAACAAGGCTTCCATGTCGGGAAGCCTAGGTCCTTGCCATCTATCGGCCACTAGGGACCATTTGATTGTCAAGCCGGTCACTATCTAAGCTTGATCCGTGAGGAGGAATTCACATATTAAGGGGCCGGATAAACAACTCCCACTTCCCAGGAACAGTTGATGTTCTGTGAGGGTCTCACGTATCCGTAGATGAGGACAGCGTAATCAGATGAGTAGTTAATATTAAAGAAAGTTATAGTCGACTCTAGATACAAGACGTAGCGCGAGGAAGCAAAAGGAAGGTAGCTTCCTCGCGTTCAGGGGAACCCATATACACCATGTGGGTCCCGCGCAGATCATATCTCCATCCATCCTGTATACTTCATGTGTATCTCTGACAGCCGCCCCTAGAAGCGAGATTAGATACTCCAGGAACCACCTTCCCCCGCGTAGCGGCTGTGCATTTGCCTTGAACCTTGTCAGGGCACCGAACGGCAAGTCCCGCTGCGTATAAAGTGAGATAGAGGTTCTCTTTTCATATAAAGCAGGACCCATGCTTCGCCAATGCTTTGATATAGCCGAAAAAGCTCCATCGCAGATATCGCAGCGTACATGTTTAAGCCATCTTCACTTGCCGGTCATGAATCTTAGCTTAGACAACGTCTTTCGGCATATGGGCCGCGTGATGGGTGACCGACCCCTTGCACCGTGAAGCTTGTGTCTGGATGGGAGAAGACGGGAAGCGATGCGGAAACATTGTGAAGAAAGAAGACCGAGTGAATGGAGCAATATGTCTACAGGCACTTCGAGAATTCCCCTCAAGCTATTCGACAACGCACCAACTCGCCATGGGCGGGACGCTCTTGCTTTGCCCTCATTGCAGAAGCCAACGCTGCCGGCCCAGGAAGTGGGCAGAGAGCGTGATCCGTTTTGTTGGAGATGCAAGCCGACCAGGCCGAGTTGATCACCGCTCTACATCCAGAGAGCTGTAACGCCTCCGGCAAGCAACAGAAGTGGCCCTTGAGCCTTTCAATTGAGATTAACGCGGACATCCGGCTGCCGTTGAATCCGTCTACGCTGTGAGCGTTTCTTCGATCGACCAGAAGAGCACAGCTTCTTCCTGCACCACGAACCCGACAATCAACCAACGCAGCTTGTGGTACGTTCTAAAGGTACCAGCGTATTATTACTATACGTGGATGACGCCTCGACTATTGTACTGTGATGATTGAATGCTCCAACTACAACATGAAATTCAAAGACATGATTACCATTGCACTACGGCTTGTGCGTACGCCTAATCAGAGCCGTCCAAGCCTCAAGGGCATGAAACTATCCATTGAAAATTCTTCCTAGCAGAAGTGTGTAAGCTTTTCCGCATCTGTAGCTCTCTGTTTCGTGCAGTCAGTCAGCACATAATACTTCCGGGAGGAAGGCTTGCGAGGGAGTGCGGACCGCTTTTGTAAGGCCTTTCTCATGCTGCTCAGAGACTTCACCCAAGAACGCCTCTGGTGATGGGGCGGCTGATCGCCGAAAGCGTTTTCATTCGAAAGGGTCTCCAAGGACATCTGGGTCGAATCGGGTTCGGCCTGGGCCGGCATTTCTCCAGGGCACGTTGCAGCTTCTGCGTGAGCTATTGGACACGGAGAAGAGACGCTTGGTCAGTCATACTGTACGTCTTGCAGTGGAAGTGAGATGGAAATGTTGAAATGAAATCGATTGAGATTGTGAGAGACGTCTACTTAAGTTACTCCATTAGAAACTACCGTATTTACAATAATTCTGGTGAGGTATTGTACGTACAGCAGTACGTAAAAATGCCACGAACTCGCACAGTCTCGGCGTTGGGCCTATACTATCAACATGCACCTGTCAACACTCGGTTTACCACGCTTCAACTGTCCGTCGCCGCAGTACTTGCGCTAGCGTTGGCCTCAGCCTCATTAAAACTGCTTCCTGTACTTTCTGATTCCAGTTTCTTGATTTGCTTCAACACCGCATCAAGAATTGCGTCGGCCGACCCCCGATCTTGACCGTTCCCGCTGGCTGCCCGAGCCCCTAGCATCTGGTCCACTAATCTTAGGGGGAGGTCGTAAAAGATCTCTGCCAGCCTGGAAACTTGGTCAAGCTCATCGGTGGCTTGCTTCAAAGCTGCTTGAGTGGCTCTGTGGTCTAGCTCCAGTTTTGCGTGAGCTCGCTTTGCTCGAAGTGCTCGGGCGTCAAGTCTGGTGAAGGTACGGAGAAGCTCCTGCTTCTGAGTTAGAGACCATACTTCCCAAGCTGAGGCCTACATACCGAAGTATCCATCCCAAAATACGAAGAATCGGCTTTGGTCTGGGTCTGTTTGCTGTGCGAAGGTTCCATATCGACCGGCGGATACTGAAGCTAGTATGCTTAGACGGGGTATCTGTCGTTGTGTTGTGTCAGATCTGTGTAGCCACGATAATCTTTTTATATTGCTTCATGCCAGCGCGACCATCTGGCTGTCTTGGAAACTCAGCACGTGAGACCATCGGGGTCAGATGTTAAAAGGGATAAACGTTGGCAATCGCGTGGGTGTTAAGGTTACTCAGTCAGCACTCGCTTAACACTAATGCCCGATGTCGTTCTCATTAATGTCCATCACCGTTATTGCGCATTGAGAATATCATCCGAGGGAATTCTCTTTGCGAAGGATCAAGTGAATAGTCAAATGCGGAAGAACACTAGGCAAATTTGAGGATGACTTGCTTCACACTGTAGCATATGTATATAAAACCCATAGTATAGGTCATGAATCAAAATCAAATTTAGATGGTTGAATTATTTTTGCAGTTTTTTACATATGGGTGGCTTTTGCATATGGGTGGCGGACCCTCGGTATGCGAGGGTCTGTAATAAATGGTAATTTATGAAAGGGGCCGGTTAATATGCGTGAGCGACACCTTGATTTACATAGTGCATGCAAGTGCTTCGAGGATTTTTTGCAGGTAGTAAGGGCTCAATACCTTTAGGCCGTGGATTCTTCCATAATGCTGTCAACAGCTTCAGCGGCTTCTGTAACCAGCGCTCCAGTTTCCTCACCCAAAATCCCCTTTTCTGTACTTAAAGCCCGCAACCTATCGCCCCACAATCGCCACCGCTCCCGTGTCAACCCGTCCTCTCTCGGCCATAGTTCCGTCTTGTCATCTAACGCCGCTGCCCAGTGATGCCGCAGCTCCTCGTGGTCTGCCTCCCATAGTGCCCGGCCCCCATCCCGCATCCAGATCGCTGCTACTCGAACATCCAGCGCCCACATCTGCTCCGGCGTTATCCTGTGCGCTTTTGGTTGGCCGGATTGGGGTCCCTGGCTCTCCAGCACATCGCGGCATGCATAGAAGACCCATATAGGATGCACCTCGCTCTTACCCTTGGTCGCTTTGAGCAACGCGGCCGAGAAACCGCAGAAGCGGAGGAAGTACTTGTCACCGCTGTTGATTAAAGTACTGGCAGTGGAGTTGTCTTTCACACTCGATTCACGCACACCGTCCCAATCGCGCCAGGCCTCAAGAATGTCATGCACGTCGCGCCACTGCGCGCCGAAGCGCGGCAGTGTCTGCCACTGTAGTTTTCCATCGACCCCGGTGTAGCTACGGAGTCGTCGCTCCGCATCGGATCTCGAGGGTACGTTGTTAGGCTGCGTCGGTGGCTGCGCGCGGAGCGCGTCGAGGAGGGCTAAGTGAGGGTCGTGTGAAGTTGAAGAGGTGACGACGGCCGTAAAAAAGGCGTCCCAGAGCGTCCAAAGCGCGTGAGCGGGGTCCGGAGAGGCAGTAATAGAGGTGACAAGGTGGACGGCTGTTTCGTCTAGCGCTGGCACTGGCGCTGAGGAAAGGTTGGTGGTGAGAAGGGCTTGAATGGGCGTGGTGAAGGGATTCGGGGGGCTGCTGCCCGGGACATCGAGAATGGTTGTCATTTTGCATACAACTCTTTTCTACCAGCGGGAGATTGTGGAAATGATACTGGCTTTGAATTGCGGTCTTGGGCGTCTTTATGCTGTTTTCGCCAAGATGAAGTGCGTAGAGGTAAATGACGTCACATTACTTAGGGCCTCAATCCGACCCCTGTACAATGACTCACCTGCGCGCAGCTGCCTGTTCTATGGACGAATCAGACAGCTCTGCCAGTTGTTGGATACTCAGACCGTCCGGCCCCAGGTGAGGCATATTGCTTTTCTGATCAAAATCTTGTTTTCGCTCACGATGCAATTTTTTGATTGAGCATATCTTCAATCCTTCTTACATCATTGCCTATGGCTTTACAATGAGATGATGCTGTGCTGACCTCCACAACCAATCTCATGGCTGCATCACGCATAGCGGCTACGATCTACATTATAGTACGAAACTCTGCCGAGTTCAGATGTGCGCTGAATGGGACTAGTGAGAAGCTCTGAGAGTTTCTCTGTTAGGTGTCGTGGGACATCTTGCGCTGCATTCGAAAGGTATCGTCTGGTCAAGGAAGTTATCGACCAAGTCGCTGACCACTGCAGTATTGTCCATTCGGAACCAGTCGAGGCATGTCTTTTCTATATTGATAACGCCTGGTGGCTGGTGGTCGAAGTGGTCGGCCGTCGGTTTGCGCCAAAGAGAGGTCTGGCGGATTGGGGTCCTGTCCACCTCTATATCAAGGCGTAGTAAGTTCGAATCCTATAGCCGCCAAATTCTTGTTCCTCGGGGGGTAAGGATGACCACGTCGGAGGAGGGGAGGCTTAGATATCGCCCAGTGTATGGGAGAGTTTAGGGGGGTAGAGTTTAGGGGGGTAATGGAGCATAGTTCTCATTCATGCCTCTCCCTTCGCATACTCTATGCTAAGTGTGGCACTGAATTCCCTAAGGTTTTTGAAACTTTTCCTTAGGGCCCGCGTTACCCCGGTGGAGCGGTACGGAATTGTGATTAGTGCGATCCCACACATAAGGAGAGCACCGCCTGTATCTAAGCCGGAGAAAGTCTGCATAGCGCCTAACATGACAAGAGGGAAGCTCCACCAGACTATAATAGATCACATCATCATCATCATATTGATAACGCCAAGATGGTCATCTGAAAGGGTACTACACAGCTAGATCTGGGAACGACCCTATGAGGGCCTGAGTCTTCTCTTGACTCTCAAACTCATGTAAAAGCTGAGGTCACCACTAGCGATTTATCAGCAAGGCAGTTCCTAGTTACCTTCCAGGGCTAGGTTACATTTCACATTTTCTTGGCGGGGGTATAGTCGACACTTGGACCCTCCTTAGCACATGGAAAATAGTTGGGGTACGCTCCGAGATTCATGCACAGGCTGGTCGTCGTCGTTCATCGTGATGTCAGAGTCCAGTTACATTGAATGGCGTTGTATGTCAAGTTATAATTCATCCGCCAGATGTTCCGTCGAAAGGTATAAATAGGCCTCTTCCGGTCGTTTATTTGCACTTTCTATAAACCAACGCTTTCATCTATCATCTCAAGTCACCCTTCGTCCAGCTACTACATTCCTCGTCTCGGAACTTCCACCCACTATGCAGCTGTCGCTTTCCACTTTCTTGACCTTGGGCCTTGCCCTTGTGCAGACCTCTTCTGCTGCCCCGGCACCCGTCAGTGCTCTGAGCAAGCGAACCGTTGACAATCTTCCCCCAAGTGACCAGTTCATAACTTGCCCGGGATACCGCTATAGCCGCGCCCAAGTTGAAACAGCTATCCAGCGAGGCATCACCAACACACCGACTAATGGGCCCCAACCGGGTATGTATCCTTTATCTCGTCATGTTATCCTATTCACGACTAACCCCGCCCACTCCTATTCCAGGCGGCTACCCCCACGTCTTCGGCAATAACCGCAAGCTAAAGTTCTCCGACGCATGCGCGGGTAAGAAGTTGTATGAGTTCCCCATTCTGCACGGGGACAGTGTCTACGGTGGCGGTGATGCCGGCGCCGACCGGGTTGTGTTTTATCTCTACACTTCCAACCCAGACACGGACCCAACGGAGAATGGTGCGTATTGCGGTGTTATGACCCATGACGGTGCGGTTAGGAATGAGTTTGCGCTGTGCCCGTCGAAAGATTAAACGACGGAGTGACGGTTCCAGCAGACAGTTCAATGCCACGACTGAATGGAGATTTGGAACTCCGCTGGGTAAAGATCTACTCGCTACAGATGGAAGTCGATGAAGTTGGCGGTTATAGTATTTCACAGTAAATGCTATTGGTGGATATTTCGCTCACTAGAATATGAAAGAAATTTTTTTATCTTGGAACCATGAAAATGCTTATTTCGCCACTAAGCTTTAGGCCTACTCGCGGGTGCTACCAAGAAGCCAACTGACCCATGACCTGCGAGGGAACTAGAGACAATCTATCAGTACACGCACTGTCTTCCGAAAACAAAATCAATTAGGCTAGGGTGTTTTGTCGATTCGGAGGATTTCAGTACTGTAACATTCTTTCCTTGTTGCATTTTGATAAAGAAGCCCCCAGTTTTGGGCATTGCACTAGATAGTCGAATACAGATAGTGCACTGGACAAAGTGTGTACTAGACAGTCCTGATGCGGTACAATATGGCTTCTCGATAGTCTCCAAGCAACTCATAGATATTGATATGTCCCTGCGAAAGAGCAGCATCCGGATCTTGATGTGCCGCCGAGGCCCGGGCATTTAGATGATGAATGGGGAATGGGGCTACGATGACGAGGTTCTTGGTGAAGAACGTCGTGATTTATGCTGGTTGCACCCAGGAATAGCATACGGTCAGCGACCACTTCCCGAGCAGTCGAGTGTCTTGCAGTCTGCCCAAGAGGTTTTGATTCGCCGTCAGAAGACTAGTCTCCGAGGAGTGCGGAGCTAGGGCTTGGCATAGAGGAAGGGGGTTTGGGGCGCTTCAAGAAACAAGCGGGGAAGATCTGTCGAACTGAGGGGTGGTATTTTACCACTAAGGACAGGGTTATTCATCAAGTACCCATTCTGTCCCTGTCTCTGTATGGTAAACGGGGTACGCTCGGCATACCAGCGTCGTAACACGCTAGGAACGACTCCTGAGATCTGATAACGCTTCAACAGCAAGATCCAGATAGAACAACATCAATGCATCTCAAGGGGACACCTCAATACTAGCACATACCAGTATCTGTCAATCCGACAAGATCAGTTATCATCGGATCAATAGCGTTCCGCGCGTAACCGACTCGCAAAGTTCACTGACCAACCCCAATGTGCCTGACCCTGAAGCGACGCCGAACAGGTTCGGGGGACGGCATGTGCATCTCCACATGAAAGAAATCTCTTTTTCTTCTGCTTTCTTTGTTCCCTTATAGAAATCCGGCTCGATGGGGCCGCTACAGTGGTGTAACATTAGTATTTGACCTCGAGTACTTCGAGATCCTGACCGCTCCTTGTACCGCCCACCATATTAGGCTACTAGACTTCACGTGTAAAGACACGCTAATATGGCCAACGCATTTACTGTACTTGCTCCGTTATTTCCTTTATTTCTCAGCTTCAGGATGCCTCCTGTATGTGGAAAAAGGGATCAAAAGCATATTCATCTGATAATATGCCCTAACAGGGTGGTTGATTGTATCAAATATGAAAGGGTGGCATACAGCCTACACCCTTATTTGTATTGAACAAGACTAAGGCGCAGGGTACCCTTCCCTTCCTTTCTTCTCAAATGAAGTTTTTTGAAGGTTTTAATGGGGCCCGTCACAACCGCGATCACATAGTCACTGACACCATTGGTGATGGTTGCCATCGAGTGGGAGTAGACCTCGTAAAAAACATTTAGAGGGCCGCCCTCATCCGCCCTCATTTGCATAAAAAATGTCGACCTTTCCTCATTTAGATGCATTATACTGCTGATTCATCACCTTAAATTACTGTTGTCTAACAGTGTTTTGCTTTACAAGTTAACTTTTCTCTTCATTTGTATATGAACATTAAGGAACTTTAAGAAATTCAGTTGTGTTATAAGTAGTGAAAGTAGGTAATGATCATATTCAGGCTTTAAGTCAGTTGATGTCCTACAGTTATTGGTAAGTCGGGTGGTTTGGGATTTTGAACGATCATGTTGCAGACATATATATTTTTACATCATATACGTGCTACATGCTCTATGCCTTAAGAACAAGCATTTCAATTTTCAATTTTTCGACTTAGCCCTTAAATGCGATAGAATAATTGTTGGATATAATGAATAGTGACATGATTTATTTTAGGAAGATTATAAAGAATTATTATATATTTGTTTCGAATATAGGGGACTTCTTTGCTCATTTTCTACTAGGGGGGGGGGTGAATTGAACCCAGCAGCGAGGGCGGATTGGCAATGTGAGTGAGGGCCGCCCTCCAAAAAAAGCGGGCCGCTCGAGAGCCGCCCTCCTATTTCGAGGGCTGGTCGAGGGCGGCCCGCGAGCGGCTCTCATAATCTAACCAATTGGAAGAGGGATCTCGAGGAAAGGTGGGGGTATTTTATGGCACGTTTAATAAACTAAGAAGCCGAGTCTTACGATATTTCACTAATTCAATTAACTTAGCCCTGAAGGACTTCTTTAGTATGTGTCTTCAAGCTCTCTCATCCAATCTTCTTGACATGTTCCCTAAATTCCCAGTTGGTTAACAATGTCACAAATTTCGCAGTTCTCCGATATCTATCCATCATCTATATATGATGGTGATATAGCCGACCCTCTTCTCTCCTTTCCGAATGAGCAATTCCCACCCCCCGACTTTTCTAAAGGCCAGCACACACTCGACTCAGCGTCAAACTCTGGGTTTCTTACCCCAATACCTCCTCCCCTGATTGCGCCTTCACTTCAGCGTGTTGGTCCTGGTCGATCAACAGCTTATATTCTATACGCCGATATGTCGAAAGATGACTTTGTCGACTGGTAGCTGAATACTGATTTTGGAAAGAAAAAGCGACTGAACTGGAATGGCAATCGGAAAGCAACCTGTTGGGAGCGATTCGATCAAGTTGCTGATGCTAAAACCGGTAAACCAGGGGCAATGTGCCGTCAATGCCAAAAAGTCCTTGATCATCCAGCAAATGGGCGGTATGGAACAACCGCCCTTCATCGGCATTTAGCTGGTCCAACTTGTCGCAAATCTACTAGCCAGAAGACTAATATAAAAGGGTTACTTGCAAATGCTGTATGTACTAAGCATCCTATATTTACACTATTCACTAATCAATTCCTAATCAATAGGCACAGAACGCACCAAAAAAGTCAACAGTCTTCACACAGGAAGCATGGGAACAGAAGCTTTTACAACTTCTTGCCCTATCACGTCTCCCCTTCCGGTTTATCGAACATCCAGAATTTCGGGAGCTTATTGCCTTTGCCCGACTTGCCCCTACACAGCCGGAGATTCCTTCTGCGATAACAATTCGGTCTCGGCTACGGGGTTATGTTCAAGAACAGCAGCAGTCTATCCTACAGAAGCTTCCTCCTAATGCAAAGCTTTCACTCGCATTGGATTGCTGGACATCTCCATTTCAACAGGCCTTTATGGCCGTCACTGGCTATTTTCTTGACCAGGATTGGGACTATCGAGAGATCCTTCTTGGATTTGAACCTTTATCTGGATCTCACTCAGGCGTGAATCTAAGTGAGGTGGTTTTAAAGCTCCTTCAGCAGCATAGCATTACAGATCGAGTACTTGCAGTAACTACTGATAATGCATCAAACAACACCACTATGATGTCGAGCATCCAAGAATCATTGCGGTCCCTTGAACTCAATAATGGTTCTACAATTGTTCGGGTTCCTTGTATTGCCCATATTATTCAGCTTAGTCTGAAGGACCTTCTTGGCAAGATAAAGGCAATTCCAAAGAATGAGAGTACGGAAATAGATTGGTCCGATGATCGTGTCCGATCTCTTCGTGCTAGGCAACAGAAGGGAGAGATCATCGATACACTTAATAAGGTATGCCCCTATTATTATACTTTTCTAATATACTAACTCTTCTTATATAGGTCCGAAACCTAGCTATCTATATCAATGCAAGCCCACAACGGCGGGAGTCATTTTACAACCTTCAGAATGAAGAGCCAAAGCTTGTTCCAATCCAGGATGTCCGAACTCGCTGAAATTCCACATTTCTAATGCTCCGACGTGCTAAACGGCTCCAATCAACCTTCGATGAGTTTTGTTCTCAGTATGGTCAAGACCATTTCGCGTTAAGTAAAGAAGAATGGCGACAGATCGAATATCTGCTTTGGATCACCCAGCCTTTCTTCAAATTCACAACTCTCCTTTCAAAGACAAAGGATGTTAGTATTCATCTCATCTTTAGTATCTATAACAAACTCTTCACCCACCTTGAAAAGTCGAAAAGTGCGTTAAGACGGAAGAAGGTTGCCTGGAAGCAGCTTATGCTTGCCTCTCTTGAAGCGGCAGAGAAGAAGCTTTCGTACTATTATGGGATGACTGACACAATTGATAACAATATCTACGCAATCGGTACTATTCTCTCGCCGCAACAGAAGCTCCAGTTCTTTGAAGGGAAGGACTGGGATGATCCAGATAATGACTGGCGTGCAATCTATCGAGCAAGTCTTGAAGACTACTTCCAATCTTATAAGCGACGCCATTCGGATGCGCAATCAACATCAAGAGCCCAATTATCTACTGTGACTATTTCAGAGCTTGAGATGGAATGCGTGGCAGAGGAGTCCCAGTCCCTAGTATCTGGTGAATATGATGAGCTAAAGGAATACCTTGATAGCGGTAAGTGGGTGAAATCTTTCTATCAACTAGCTTATATTAAGTTTAAGTCTAGGAATTGTACGAACTCCTACCTGTGTTTTCTGGAAGGATCATCAGCATCAATTCCCTGCTCTTGCAAACCTTGCACGCGATGTGCTTTCTATACCTGCTACAGGAGCAGGTGTTGAGCGCCTCTTTAATTCCGCCCGTGATGTCTGCCACTACCGGCGAGGTTCTCTTAACCCATCAACAATTCAAGATCTAATGATGTTGATGTGCACATCAAGGTTTGAGATTGAAGAGGGTCGACGAGCGTTGATCAATGAATATCTCTCACATGAAGAGATACAGGCAAACCAGGAGGAGAAGAATACGGATACTTATCTCCTTGAACCTATTAGTGATGATGACGAGGGTGATAATGAGGTCAATGAGGATAATGTTTCAGCGGTTCTTAATACTGGTCAGCCTATGGCTGTTAGGGCCCAATCGAAACGGCGACAGCGCGATTCATCGGAGCTAGAAGAAGGACAGCATGAAGAGGAGGGTGAGCCTAATCTACCAAATACGCAGAGTCGGAGTTCAGGAAGGGTTCGGAAGCGTTCAAGGCTTCTTGATGGATATGAAGTTGAAACTCCATAGAAATGGTGTATATAATATAGATCCTCAAATTGAGTCTAATCTTTTGAACTTTAATAAAGCCGTGCTGCTACTGATTCAGTGACTTTCTGAAATCCTAAGCTGTAACTCAAATACTCAATAATACAGCTCAAATTTGCATATTTTATGCAATTATCGGATTGACCATGTTTGTCATGTTTGTCGGCCCTCGAAATGTTTCGAGGGCGGCCCTCTGAGGGCATGTAAAAGACGTGCCCGACCCGCGGGCGGTTATGAGGTCTACTTTAACCTGTTGTCATGCTTTGTACTGTATCCGGCCGATTGGAGATATCGATGACTCTGTATTTTCATTACCCCTATAACTAGCTATTTATGGGTCCATTCCAGTTACATAAACTATGCCGACGGATCATCTAACTTATAGAGCGGGTTCCATGCAGTATTCGTAAGGTAATTGCGACACCTATAGTCTGCCTCGGAATGCACCCGGGAATAGGGTACAAAAGACACGAAACAGTGCAGTGTATGCGGAGGGAAATGCGGAATATTGTTGGGAGTTCGGCGGAAGGTGGAGGAATATGCCTAGGGATGCGGAGAGGACCGCGCCGAAGATGCGGAGGGAGAGGCGGAGGTATTGGGTGTTTGGTGCGGAGGATGCGGAAGACGGAGGAATACGCCGAGATAAGTGGATAGGGACCGCGCGGAGGGCGCGGAGGATGCGGAGGGAGGTAAGTTGTCCCGCGATTTTGCCTTATAAAATCTTTCCACGCCCCTCGTCTCCTCTACGCTATCTCCATTTACATTCTTTCCATCTGCCATCTCTCTACCCTTCGAAAGCAAATTGTGCGAGACGACTGATTCATAATCATGCGACCGAGGCCTCGTGGAGGCACGCGGGCGTCTTGCAATAATTGCCGCCAAAAGAAACGGAAATGCAATCTTTCATCTCGACTCAAGGATGGAGAAGAAAAATGCTCAAGATGTGCTGCAAAAGAACGCGAATGCTACATTGGAAGCCCGAATTCTGCTTGCCCCTCCAAGCGTCAGCGCTTAGAGCACACCACCTCGAGCAGTTTGCCAGATGAGAGGCTCGCCCCCGACGAAACGAATCTACCAAGCACGCTGCCCCAGCTACCGTTTCACGGCGAAACTCCCACAGCAGAGTCCCAAGAAGACCCTGGCGCTCTCACAGAGCGCCGCAATTATCCTCCATCTTTGTCGTCAGAAGGCACAGCTGCTACCTTTTCACTGGATGATGAGCTCAGTGCTGGGTGTTCGACCGACCTTTCCGAACTCAACTCGCAGGGGTCATCGTTCCTCCATCGTGTCTTCATCGGTGCTCCTCGAGCCCAATCTTCGGACACTGCGCCGCTGGCTGCGCAACGTTCAGATTCCCAAAGCGATGACTCACCAGCTCCTGAAAGGCCGACAACCACTGTGGTGATCCCAAAGGCCCCTCATTTCAATATCAGATCAGTTGCCTTCAATTCAGCGACAGGCGATTTCGAAGTTTATTTGACTGGTTCTGCAGGAGCCTTTTATCGACGTCTCTTGGCGATATGTGAGCTCAGCATACTCGATTTCATAGAGTCGCTGCATGCGTACTTTGATTTTCCGGCACTCTATCGTCCCTTCATTCCAGAGGATGCGTTTTGGCAAGATTTTCGTGCAGGTCGTTGTGGTCCAGTCCTTCTCCTAGCCATTGCCTGTCGTGGTATACCATGCACAGGGGTGAAAAACAAAGAGGAGAAGCAGCGGCACCTCGCCAAAATGTTTAGAGCAGAGTTTATGAAGGCTATGACCTCCAAAGTTCGCACCAGTCCGGTCTGCCTTGATGTTCTAGAGGGGATGGCCCTTATGGTCGATTTCAATTATGGCAACGCACACACACCCGCAGATCACTCCTGGAATTTGTTCATGACACACGATGCCCTCGTCTTGTTGACTTTGCAGTCTCGAAAACGCTGCCCGGGAGCCTTGGATCCTTCGGCATCCTTTGCAAGTGCTGACGAGCGTTTTACACTTCTTTATTGGGACGTGTTTGGCCTAGATGCTTTCGAATGCCTCGATGACAAGAGCATGTCTCTTATTTCAGATGATGCGTTTACTTTGACTGAGGATCTTCTAAATCATGAAGCCGGAAGCTATCTCGATGCCATGCTCAGCTTGTGTATTATTGCGCGTCGGATTGCCGGGAAGCTGTGTAGCGCCACCGCCAGAGCCGCCGGTATCGCATGTGAAGATATTACCGTACTCCACGAGCAGCTTTCCCATTGGCGCTACGACACCCTGCCGGTGGAGTTGCAAAGACCAATAGACAGAGAGAACGAATTTCCTGCAGAGGATCGCACTACCAGAGAATATACTCCTATCCCAGTGGGCAGAAAGGTTCGTCTGCAACGAGCAATACTATGGGCACTTGAGATCCATTGTTATCTGCAAATCGACGACTGTGTTGCCCAGTATGGCTTGAAGAATGGAAATTCAATTCAGGCGGAAATATTCAGTCTCAAGTGTCTGCAGGTTGTCATGGAAGCGGTCAACATGGCCAATACAATTAAGGAGTACCGTCCTGGGGATCAATATTCGGAAAAGCTCTTGGTTGATCTTGCACCATCCATACTGCGAAATGTTTGTGCCGGCTTGTGTTGCTGGGTTTGTTCGCGCGGCATGGAATCTTTGGAGTTACACGAACCACAAGTTCCAGACATTCCTTCATTTTCCCATGAAGGCATACTTCAAACTCTTGGAAAAGACGCTGAAGCCCAGCGGAGGGCAGATTACGTAGAACTTGCGAAGACATTCCGGGATTCCGTAGCCGCGGCTTCGTCGCACAGAGACACAAAGCAGATACTCGAGCACCTCGATGATCAGATCGCCCCTTTACAGGATGTCTGATGCCGAAGCGCATGTTCAGCTGTTATGATATTCGAATGTCTATGAGGAATGGGGTCTCCCTTGAGGCCACGCTGGAGCCCGGAGAGAATGTTACAGTACTATTGTTGTCTTAGACGGGCCATGTAATTATGTATTTTTTACTGGTTGATTTGCGCGACGTAGCTCTGGAGATTTAATTTCATATGGATGCGCTACCGGACCTGCTGATGGCTGAAAGTGGATCACCATCCCATACCATAAGCAAACTATGTGAACATATTTCCGTTTATCTCCTGAATACTAGAGCTGATGTTAAATGAGGCCCATGCAACCGACAGTGAAGTTTCGTTGGGTTTGGGTGAGGGCTAGCGCGCCGGATCTTCTTATATCATGTGTGGCACAACTGAGGTTAACCCACAAAGATATACTTGCAGTCAGGTTTGTGACAAAAGTGCAAGTGCCGCATCAGCACCACGCACAACTGCCTCGCTCTTTGTGAAACATTTGCTGATGGATGCAATTTTCTCTCCCTCTAGCCAGACACAGATGTTGTAAAGCCCATCATCCGTTTGTGTCTGTTGTAGTTCAGAGGTATGAATTGAGTTGTTATTTCCGAGGGATACATGAGCCTATATATACAACAATGAGCCAAGTTGATTAGAAATCAACTTAGTCGTCTATATAGACACTTCGGAGCTAATTCCGACGGTACGGCTTGGTTCCTGATCTGCACCAGCCTCATATCACAACAGTGTCATTTGAAAATCTGATCTCCGGCTGCCAAGGATGCGATCCAGAGCGTTCTTGGGGTGCCGTAGGAGAACCGCCTGCCCCACAAAACGCCCAAGATAAGCTATCAGATTAATTCTTTCCAAAAATTGCTCACATGCATCTATACAGCCTCCGGTATCTATAAAGATTGCTCCGATGGTGCTCTCGATAATATCGGAGTAGAACTTGGGTGGTGCCAATTGAGCGAGCGTGGCCCAGGGATACGAAACATCATTGTTTAGATTCCGCTTGATCTTATCACGGAGTATTCGATACCGCTCGCTGCATGAAGCCTGAGATTTGATGATTTCTGGAGCATCGTGACGCATGAACATCCACAAAGAAGTATTTTTCGACAGAATGCTCGTTTCGAAATCATCCAGTATCGAACTTGGCTTCGAACAGTGTGGCTCGGTCAAGGTGAGCTCCATGCAAAGGAAGGCTAAGAAGTCGGCATTGACCGTGGCAGCTCGAAGCTCCGTCATTTGACCTTCCGCAAGTTTGGGGTGCCGATTGTACAGGTTCTTTGAAACAAGAAAGTCAAGAACGGCATCTCCCAGAAACTCAAGCCGCTGATAAGACCCAGTTGTGTTGTCTCTTTGCCATGATGGGTGTGTGAGTGCTTCCCAAATCAGAGCCCGGTTTTGGAACTTGAAGGCAAGCAACAGGTCAATCTTCTCTTCTAAGTGGATCGGAAAGGTGTGGTCTTCTGTTTGTGTGCATTCTGACTCGGTTGAGATGTTGGAAAGTTCCGGGAGAAATATGCCAAGAAGCTGCTGGGAGAGCGATATTCCACCACATTCGTAGGCAGCTGCGGTGAGCGCTTCGACCACGTCCGCGAAAACCTTCCTAGGAAGTGTTCTATTTTGATATTGATTCAAGATTGGTGAAAATATAGGATGCTTTTGTGTGATAAATTCAGTACAGATAAACCTTTCTAGATGAGCACTTGCGGCTGCGCACGTTAGCCTCTCATTCGAGACGAGTTGGTCCTTAAAGCTTGACAGATAACCTTCGTGCCACAAAGGATATTGAGAAAAGGCATGTACAGCGACCACACATTTAAGGATAGAGTCACCCCAAAATTCCAGCCGCTGGTAATTGCTGGGCCATTGAGAAGAAGGAGCTGTGATTGCGTCTTTGAGATAGCTGGAGCCGATCATAGGCAGATCTTTGAACATCTTGACTTGTATTTCACTTGCCATCAGGTGTTGATGCAGAAGCTGTATGATTGGCGGGATTGCGAGGCTGGCCAGACTCAGCTCCCAAGGCAGGAAATCAAGTGTGCATTCCGTGGCCGCTACACGGATTGTATTGAACGACTCGGAGTCGCGTGGGGTTCTGTGAGATAATGAACCTCGCTCAAGCAGATTTTTCCTCTTTCCAAATCTTCGGCATTCAATAAGAAGCCCCTCAGGATCTGGCCTCCGAATCCATCTCACAAAAACATGGGGAGTAAAATGAAGGCTAGGGCTGCGGATAAAACCTGATGGCGCAAGAACCGGTATTTTATTTCGGCCCCCACGGATAGCGATGGATCCTTGGTTGACACTGAGCCATTCTTCTAAATCTTGCAAAGGAAGGTCTGGGGTAAAAAAGGGCAAAAAGTCTGGATACTGTTCTCGTGCAGAACTTGCGTGCGTCGATTGGAAGAGTAGGGTCGTTATCTCCCGCATGAGGCATCTGGAGAACGGTGAAACTGCAGTTTCGATATTGAAAGGGTGCAAGGTAACAGTGATTGTGGTTTGATCATCCCAATAAAGATCTAGATCTTCCTTCACCGGCAGCTTGACAGGCGTAAAAAGCGCCATTGTAAGTTCCGGTCGGTCTTTCCCGTTCGCGGCGAAATTGATGCGGCACTTGTACAGCATTCTTTCTGTCCAAAGCCCCGGGATGCCTCTCCAAAAGTTGATCAGATTTTCCACTTGGGGGAGCTCTGCCAGAATAGCTGTTTCCTGGATCTCACTAGTCGATGGATTGTTCGAAAATAAAGGAAGAAGATGGTCATCTATGAGATCTTGACCATGCAAGACACGCATAGCCTGAAAGGCGGCATCTTGTCGGGCGGACTGCTTTGTTCCCCACCAATGGTGACCATCTACTATCCGTAGAGAACGGTCGATGCCGCTCGGCAGATAGACCGTTGATTGTGTCAGACCTTCATCATTCTTCTTGTAGGAAAATGTGGGATGGGTTTCGCCAAGTGTTTCGCTTCGCAAGGTTGTGCAAAAATGATGCAGATGAGGTATGGCATTCTCGCTGGTCAGCAGGGCACTGTAAATAAAGTTTTCTTACGTTAGCTTGCACACAAACAATTTCGAGAGATGACAAACAAACCCTGTGTGTAACCGTAGTTGCAGAAAGACCTCGTCCGATTCTGTGTCGTCCACCTCTAACCCCTGATGGCTTCGTTTATGGTCCAAACATATACCCTGCATCTGAAGTTCGAGGTCGCTATATTGCTTTGAAGACGCGGAAATTGTTTGTACATCTTTTGCTTCCATGACAGCAAATTCGGAAAGGCCCTGTCGTGCTCGACCTCGGCGCTGTATGAACGATGTAATATTGTCCGGGGTATCAAATGAAATGACAAGGTGGCATGCTGGACGATCAATACCTTCTTCTAGCACGCTGGTAGCAATAATAAGATTCTTCAGGCCGCTGCGGAACTGTAGAATCACGTCTTCGTTCCTTTCAACAGACAAAGACTCACATCGAACAGAGCTGCTCACACAGGGCGCGCATCGGAACGCACTTTGCGTCAATGGGTGGGCATTAAGCAGCGCCGCTAGGACATAAGCGGTTACTCTTTCTCGAACGAAAATGACACCCGAAAATTCTGCGTGGCCTCTTGCTCTTAAAAATGATAGGAGCCGTTTTACTTTATCAGAAATGCTGCCAGTCGACTGTAGGTGGACATCAACACCTTCCACAATACTGTTCAGTGCAGCTCTCAAAGCTATAAATCTTTGATTACATGACGGAGCGGAGGAAGTGTTTTCGTGTTCAGTAATCTGTTGGGCAACCTGCTGAAGACTCTTTGTCAAGAAGTGTCGTAAAGCCCACGCACCTAGATGATACCAAATAGCACGCGCTTTCGAAGGGATCTTAGAGAGTTCACTAGGGATGCTATAACCTTCGATTTTGCCGTGTTCACGTAAATGGATGACCGTCCCTTCCAGTGTGTCCAGATAGGAAGGCGGGACCACTGTGCCACAGTTACTTTGGATGAAGAGGATCTTAGTAAGATTTCGATAAGGAACGTTCTTCGTCAGTTCTTGATGCTGAACCAACGGGGCTCGACAGGTTGCATTCAGGTTTTGCTCGAGCTCCCTTAAGAATCGTTAGTTGCATTTCTGTTCAGCATGTCACAGCTTTGCGCACGGGATTTTAGCTACATCAACTGAGGCTGTGAGGCCAAGGATGCTGGGAAGGGTTGACTTCTCTGGCCTAGCCGCATGGGCCGCGTGATAGAAATCGCGCATGATGCGGTTTCCTGGATGTGATTTCATACAGTGATGAGCTTGTATCTTGTCAGCTTGATGAGTAAGGTCTTGATCTTTTCATTTCGCACCCTCATCAAACACAATCAGAGCCAGTTGGTGCAGTAGTACAAAGCCGTGTGTGAGTGCATCACAAAGGACGGCATAAGTAGAAAAGACGACTTTTACTCCCTGAAGGGCCGTGTCCCAAATCTTTTGATTGCGCCAACAGTCGACACCGTCATCCCCCGTTAGCATTCTCATGCTAACTGCGGGCATATATTGCGATATATACTGCAACTGTTGGCTACATAAGACTTTGGTCGGTACCAAGAACCACACCATCTAAAGATGACAATGTTAGTTGTGTCTCATGAATAGCATTGGGGGTTTTGCCCGCCTGATGTTCCTGGCAACGTTCCAGTTCCGCCATAATTCGCATGCTAGCTCTACTAAAACGTCATTCTGAGGCAATCTGATAGCAGATTATTTGCTACGCACATATATGTTTTTCCGCTTCCCGTTGGTAGCTATCCGTTCAGCTTTCAAACTCGATTATAACACCACCGTGTTGAGGGATATATCTTACCACAGCTATTATGTTGTTTTTCATGCTCATTTCAAACATTTCAAGTTGGTAGGCGCGGGGCTGAACGTTGCTCATGCTAGTGGTCAGTATTGTAAGAAAAATGAACAAATGACCAAGAAAGTCAAACATAACCGAGATATATGCGTTTTAAACTTGGCTGCTATGTTTGAAACTTATTTCTCTCTTATTTTAATTTGGATATCACCCTGCATAAGTGAAGTAGTGCATGTGATTTATCGAATAAGTCTGTCTGTTGCAGAAGTCTCTTACGCCAATCATATCGTGCGACGTGGACGTGCAACAACATGCAGAATCATGAGTGTCAAATGCCTAGTCCCCGGGCAGGTATCAGGCCAGATATGTTTCATTTTTCCTTCTGTTCGAAATAGCTTGCAAATCATTCTAAACATTGTCATTGTTCTTTACACTGGAGCGGCTCTTGCTTATTCATGTTCATCATCAGCACGGACGAAGAATTCGATGGCTTTATCCGAAAGCTTATTAGTTGTCAAGAATTATTGGTATTAGAAAACAGCCATGCCCTTTGCTGCGCGGGAGCAGACGAACGTGAGCTTGATGGAAATTGAGAGCTAATCCGATTAGGTAAGGGACTCTTGTAGTTATGATTCTGACCGATCTCAGCAGGCTTTTGATGGGCTGTCTCGAGGTGATTACTGTTATACTCTTATAAATCTAATGACTTGATACCGCAACATTTCATGTCGAACTGAGTATACTACCGAACACCTCTGATCAGTCGGCGTAAACCCGGTCCATCCTACTGGTATGGTAACCAAAAAGTTCATTAATCAATTATTTAACTGCCTCTTTGTTGATCCTCTCCGTAGTAGCGTGTAAAAATATCATAGCATTCGAGACACCTTAAAGCTCAGGGTTTGTTTAAACAGTACCATATACCGTGCGAACTTAGCAAAGCGTGCAGGAATTGACGAGCATGTGGTCTAAAATTCTACGCCCGGTAAATGCTCGCCAAGCGATGTTGCCTTGGCCACAAGCGCCCTTCTTGGAGCTATTTACTCGGAGAAGAAAGCGTTTCAAGTCTGAACTCTGTGAGCAATTGTGCTTTAGAGTAAACACATAGGCCATGTTGGTGGATTACGTCTTTTTATGTGGTCACTGGACCAAGGGGATGAAACGCCATATTTTCCCGCAGGGAGACTGTCAACTCTCTTTGCTTATTCTCTGCATTGGGTTTGTTATTCCCTCATTGCTAATGGGAGAGGTGAATTAGAGCCACGAAGCTCGTCTAGAGTTATTTTTGTGTAATCACAGGTCTGATAGAAGCTAAAAAAAAAGCAGTTCATCTTCATTCTGATGTCGTGGTCCAGATATGTATAAATAGCTAAATCATTTGATAACTCGTTGCTTACTACAATGATATAACGCTTTTTCCACCGTCTTCCGTCAATCGTTTCCGAATCCTGATTACTAGATATCCAGCACCCAATCTACTGAGGTCTGGAGAGCTAGGACTTTCTGCTGCAGTACCCAGTACCGCACCAGGACAGAACAGCAAGGCCTCACCCACCCGAAGGTTTACAATCCGATAGAACAATGATAGCTTGCCTGATACCTCGGGCATGACTGATTCTTCTTCAATGGTGGTCGCTGCTTCCTCACTGAACTGTGTCCCCAAAGCTGCTGCAGCCACGTGCCCTTGCAGTGCGCGTAGCCATGCTGGCGAGGTAAATCTGTGGACAATGGTAACCGAGCATAGGCTGAGGAGGTCGCTTGAAATTGTCGGCTCTTGGGTGGAAATAAGGATGCGCGCCCCAAGGTGGCGTTGCAACCTGACAGTTGAAAGAAGGGTATCTGTAAAGCTCCGCGCTTCAACTGAGTCTTTCATATACTATACACAGTGCGTCAACGGCCATCAGTATGACATTTGATTCGAGAGTGACGAACTTTATGAGCCTCATCGAGTGCAACTATTCGGCCAACCTTTGTGTCCTGCTCCATGAATATTTCAAAGCAAACATTGAACAGAGAACACGCCGTGTCAGGTGAGATGCACGGACAGGAAAGATCAACGATCGTCAATTGTGATGGCTGGTCAAAGAAGTTAATCTCTCGTTGCGATACTAGAATTGACTGTCAGGGTCTAACCTCCGGTGCCCAGCTCGAGCTTGCGGCTTGGGATTTTCCGTTCTTCTTATTTATCCCACTCGCTGGTTTTGCTTGATGGGAAGGCATGAAGCTCTCCAGCGTCTCTAAGCGTTGCTTCAAGGGCTCAAGTTGACTAGGAAGAAGATCAGAACCAAGAACTCGCTTTTTGAACTCTTGGTAATCGAATTTGGATGCGTGCTCTTGCTGCAAAAAGCGCATCTCCCGGAGAATACGCTGGACAGTATGCATGTACAAAGGTACTGACCCCTGATCTTGGCCCACTGCCATAAGATCTAGCATGCGCTTGGTATTCAGATTGGCCTGATCTATTTGCAAAGGCTCTACCTTGATATTGAACCTTGCGTAGGTCCCCTTGGATATAAATCAGAGGTAATGAAACTTTCAAGGCTCAGCTTCACTTACTCGTATAGTCCTAATGTTTGTTGGGGCACACAAAACTCTGACATTAATCTGAGAGTGAGACGCGAGGAATGCAGCCTCACAAGGAGAACCGCCGTTATCGCAGATGAAAGTGTCATAGTGAAATACGACAGCCGTTAGGGGATTCGGAAGTCTACCAGCCTTAGAGGGGATCAAGCCGCCCTCCAGTATGCAAGACAAGGTATGGCTTTTACCCGACCCCTGAGAACCGCAGATGAAGGTGCTCGATGGCGATGAAACATTGAAGAACAGTCGTGGATCTTTTTCAATAAGCTGGTTCTGAGGAGTTGGAAAACCTGGTGCTTGAACTCTCTTCAACCCTCCCAATAGGGCAAATTGGGATGGGATCTGGCCGGATTGATTGAGGACTGGGCCCGTAAAGACAGGGGCTAGCACGACTTCGTCACTGTGGTCATCGGAGTCTTCAAGAAGAGTCAAGTGATATGCTAGATTTGGATCTACATCCATGGTCAGCTTTGGCTTCATTGATTGAAAAGGTACATTGAGGACTGATAGTAACAGACCACTCTGATGTTCTTTGCATTTGGACTTCGACATTTTCGGAATATATGTGCTGGGCTTTCGGACTGCTCTTAGCTACTGGGTCTTTCTGATTTATAACCTACACTCATGTACTTGTTTAACAATACTCGCTATATGCGGAAGATACGGCGGTGTAGAAAGTTTCTCATTACGTGCTTTGGATCACAAGAGATCTAAGAATTCTGACTATGCATCTCTAGGCCAGTTTGCTTGGTATCTCATGCGGCGGGGACAATGGAACAGGCAACTTGGTAGATCCATATAAATCCTAGGATGTCATTCACTACGCTAAGCCACACTCGATATCGTAAGTCAGTAAGGAGGACATCCCTCTCCTGCGTTGGCGGCCTCCCACATTGACGGCCTCCCACATTGACGGCCTCCCACATTGACGGCCTCCCACATTGGTGACCTTAGTAATGTGATTGCCCTTCGTGTGTACTGGAAATAACCTTTCTCAGCACAAGTAGCCTGTGTTGGATCTAGCTTCGTGTTATCTACGCTGAACTCACGTCCATCTCTCGAGCCACCAAACCGCACTACGGCATTCTCTTGCTTGTAATAGTGAAATAGCACTACGTTTGAGATGCCTATAGACGTTTAGCGGATGCAAAACGCACTTTATTGCCTAGTGATAGGCTAACCACTTGGAGTTAGTGTCAGAGCAAGAATGTTTCTGTGCACTAGAGATCATAGATTGTAGTTCTGTTGACAACATCCAACGTCTCTATGCTGATCTTAATTAGCAGTTGATTTCTTGGAATAAGTTTAAAATGAAGCGCATTTAGTGATAGGAAAGCGGAAAGCGTTCAGTAGGGACAAGGCAAACGGATATCAACCGTGGGCAGCGAGCAAAAAAGTCTCAAATGGCTAAAGCCTAAGTTCTGGCAACAAAATAGGATTGTAAAGTTAAGTTCTAGATGAATGTCTTTTTCAATCTAGTTGTAAAGTTTGGCCAAATCCTACTTGCCTTGCCTGGAAGTTGCTTCCTGTCACACTTTTATGTTTCGCTATATTAGTTTCTGGTTTTTGGCATGAGTGATTAGGTTTCCTCTCTAATGTTTTGTGGAGTGCCTTGTTCAATAAAATAGGACGTATGGGTATTGCTGTACTCTGGCCATTCAATGAAAACCACATCCAACACTGGCCTGGCCACCGTTACCCTACTATTCCATGAAATAAGCCGGCAATACACCTTTAAAATTCCTGCCTCCCCCCGCAACTCGAGCTTAGCCACCAATCTCTCAAACAACCTCAAGCACCCCCAAGCTCCTCACGAACGCCACTAATCTCGTCAATTGTGCAGCAAGCATAGTCAAAAGCACTTGTATTCCTTCCTCCCATGTTAAATGGTACCTTTTTTATCTCTTACCTTGACTGAACTGAAGACTTCAATTCATGATGTGCTAGTATAAAAGTCGGCTGCCCCAATCTTTGTTTTTGATGCTTCTCTGGGTCGTATTTCGTTGAGACACGTATTCATCCTATGAAGAAGTCTTCGTCGCTAGAGAATTAATCAATTGTATTACGATGGATCAGTGAAAGGCGTTTAGAACTAATAGTTTCATTGGTAGAAAAATCATCATTCGCCGCTTCGTTGATGTTCCATTGTCCCTAAGACATTGGCAAGGGAGGTTTGAATTACTGGTCTTGCTGAAGTAGTGACTCTGCTTCTAGCAAGTCATATTTCTATCACTCAAGCGTGCAGCATTTTAGTGAGAGGCTCAGCATTTGCTCCGCAACTTCGTAGGTGTCGTTCTCCTTCCTAGGCCTAGATAAGAATTGTTCGACTATCAAACTCATTTCGTGGCGTCTGAATGCCTGAATATCGCGAGGTCTGAATCCTTCATCCAAAGCTTCTCTTATCAGTTCACACCAAATTGCAGTGTATGATGCTTTCCAATCTTCAATGAAAGCTTTGGCCTGGGCCATCGTTCTAAATCTTTTATGACATGAGCCTGGCTCACCGGTCACTTGATTCTTAGCACCGTTGTTGCCACTTGACTTGATCAGCTCTATGAACGTCTTGCCCGATAGCATTTCAGTAACACCTACTGGTAAAAAGGGTAAATCCCAGGATTTGCTCCGTTCGCCACCGCATAGAATCCATTTCCACCTAGAGGGGTCGTTTCTCCTGCTCCACTCTTGAAGATCTCCTTGGGGTTGCGTGCACCCATGCTTTTCATGTAAGCGCGTGCTTCTTGAAGAGTATAACAGCTTTTACTTTCTGACTGACATCCGGTCATGCGAGGATGCGCATCGCCCTATCATTTCGGTTAGATCAAGTTCTATTTTCTGATCGAGATATGGAAAACAACCAAGATGAAAATATTGTAGGCTCATTGATACGACCTGTGAATATCGCGTAGAATTCTTTGTTTTTTGGCATCGCTCAGGCTCTTTAGAATGAAACCAGTTTGAAAAATGTCTTCGGTCGCGGGGGGAACAACCCTTTCTTGGCAAAAACGTTTTCTTGGAATATCTAGCCAACCAGAGGTCGCAGGACCTCAAGAATTAGTTTACCGTAGTCGTAACTTCAAGCGCTACCATCTGATACCTGCTTCATAGGGAAGATGGCAGCGGCGATTGCGACTGGTGCGAATGCACAGAATTTGCCCCCTGTCAGGAGAGGAACACCAAAAATCACGGCCCTCGCGGACCCGCCCCGATCCATGGACGAGATCGCGGAAGGGGCCCGCAGGGTGCTTAACCACATCGAAAACAGTGGCACGGAAGACCGATATGTCACTGGATATATTCGCTCCGTCCGCCAGTACGCACTTAACGCCCAACGGGGCGACGGCCAGGGGATGGCCAAGGTGCTCGAGGCGCTGACCAAGATCAACCTCGACACCGAACGTCTGAACCAGCGAATCGACACCATCGAAAAGACAACGAGCACCTTATCGACAACTTTATCCACACCCGCGGCGAACTCTGCTGCAGCGTGGCGTAGCTTCCGAGCCGGAGAATGGCAACGCGACCTAACCAAGGCTGTGGCACCCAACACCCGGAGCAACGGCACGTCGTCTCCAGGTGTGCCGGAAATCGAACTTCGCGAGGATCGGGAGGTCATCGTCAAAGTAGGGCCAAACCGGGAGCAGATCCGAGGATTGACGCCGAAGGATCTGGTTGAACGGGCCGAACGACAAAGGACGACAAATGCCCGACAGAAGAATTCTGGGGTACTGGCTAAGCAGGCCTCATTTGTCGCAGCCCGCAAACTGCCCTCGGGTGACGTGGCGATGATAGCTAACAGTGCTGCAGGGGCAGAGGTCTTTCGCAAGCACCCGGCATGGTTGAGGGCTTTTGGGCCTGGGTCGGTGATCCAGGAGCCGTCGTGGGGCATCGTGGCATACCACATCCCCGTGAAATCGATGAAGCGTACACCGGAGACGATGGCCGACGTCGCAGCGGAACTGCTCAGACAGAACAACTGGGGCGAAGACTCCAAGATCCAGTATCTGGGATGGCTGACGCGTCCGGGTGAAAGGGCGGAGGGTTCGATTCTGATCGAGTTCACTAGTCCAGTTGTGGCTAATCGTGCTATCATCACCGGGGTCGTGTGGGGGAAGCAAATCCATAATGCATCACGATTCTGCCGCGAGGGGCGGATGAAGCTATGCAGAAAATGCCAAAAGCCGGGGCATATCCAGTCACACTGTCCCAACGTTTTCAAATGCGGCCACTGCGCCGACGCACACCCGACCTGGGAGTGTCCGTCGACAAAGGGGCAAGCGATACCTGTGAAGTGCGCCAACTGTGGCGAGGGACACCGTCCTACAAGTCGAGAATGTCCAGTGAAGACTGCGGCGATGAATGAAGCTAAACAAGCGCTGGCCAACTGCCCTGCATATCACCGCATTCCTATGCACTTCCGAGTGGCAGCAAGCACCGGCAAAGAAGCAACCTCGACCAGGGCAGACCCCATGGCGTCGAACGGTCTCGAAGCGTCGATACACGCCTCGGAGGGGCAGCGGGGGGAAGAACCCGCGCAGAACCTCGAAGATGCTGTAATCGACGGGGAGGCTGCAGCAATAGAAGTAGAAACATCACCAGAGGAGAACACTGAGCCTATCCAGCCTACTCAGCTCAAAAGAGGCCCTGGTCGCCCAAAAGGCTCAAGAACGAGGCCAAAGAATCCCAAACCAACAGTGATACCACTAGCATGCCAAGGGTCAACAAGGCGCCGCACAGGCGAGCCGGACGACACCATGGACGAGCAACCAGACGACAATGAATGGCTCAGCATTCAACCCACTCCGGCCGATCTCCCCCACCCTGACACTCAGCAGGATAGCCTGGAACACCAACTTACCCAATTCATCAACGAGGTCACCACTGTCAACGAGACCGGTAACACGTCCGAGCCCGATGACGAGGAGGAACTGGACCCGGAGGGACCCGAATACCGCAAATTGGTGGTTCTGAAATACAGGCAGCGGCAAGCGATACCAATCGGATCGTCTCCGCCGATTTTTGTGACGGATACACCGACAATCGAAGACCCAAATGATGAAATATGGCACGAGGCCAGCGAACGAAGTGATGACGAGCAAACTCACCAATGAAAGTGTTTGAGATTCTTCAATATAACGTACACAAATCGTGGCCAGTGATGGCAACGTTTCTCAGAGACAAAAACGTCCTCGCAGCGGACGTCGTCGCGGTGCAGGAGCCATGGAAGAACGAACTACAACACACAACACATCAACCAGCGACGGCAACATTCCAGCTAATTTACCCACCAAAAGCAGCTGCCGGCGGATCAACCCAAGGCCAGGACGATCAGGTCCAAGCCTCGGATCTCCCCCAACCGGGAGTATGCCTGTTTGTGTCTAAAAGGCTTGACCCGAGCACTTGGTCGTGTCAGCTCGTCTCACAGGACTACCAGTTACTGAAGCTCAGAAAGGCTCATCAGGGCAGAGAGTGGAGAGATCTCTTCATACACAACATCTACAATAGGCCGGGCAACAATACCCTTAGACATCTAAGAAACGAGCTGTCAAAACGTCCCCATGGAGAACACATCATCCTTGGAGATATGAACGCGCATCACCCGAGATGGGGAGGATCAGGGACCAGGGCCGATCAAGAGGCCAAGCAACTCCTAGAGATCGCCAATGAATGGGGACTCGAGTTGACGACCCAACAAGGCAGACCAACCTGGTCTCGAAACGATCAGTCGTCAGTGATTGACCTCACCTTCATCACATCCAACCTTGTCAGCAGGCTTATCAATTGCGAGAGAGCGGATGACATCGAACATGCATCCGACCATTTCCCGATCAGAACTGTGCTGGATATTATTACACCAGTCGCCGTACAGCAGAAGAGAAGAAACTGGAGCGCAACTGATGATCAGAAACTTATCCAGAAGATCGAAGGAGATCTACAGACAGGAGGCTTATACCAGGCAGATCCGCAAAAGATAGAAGCCACATGCCAGGAGCTGATGGGAGTGATACAGTCAGCAATCGAGGATTCAACCCCATGGGCAAAACCATCCGCATGGTCGAACCCCGACTTTGGCGACGAGTGTAAAGTTGCGGTCAAAGAAGTTCGTCGCCTCCGTCGCAGACATACGAAAACCAAAGACCCCTACGACTGGATGTGCTACTCGGAAGCACGCAACAAGAAAACGCGACTCGTCAAGAAAACCTTGTCAAGAGCGCACCGGCACCGAGTCCAGCAGGTCGTTGAAGATGGCCCACAGGGTATGTGGCGATTGGCTAAATGGGCAAGGAACCGAGACGGGGCCTACGAGAAGGGTATCACCCCTTCGCTGAAAATGCAAGATCCCCAAATACCTGGAACTCTCGCGGAAACAGTGGAACGAAAAGCAGAGGCATTCCGGGTTGCCTTCTTCCCCGAACCGCCGCCAGCCGATCTATCCGACACAGACTCATTCCAGTACCCACAGCAGATCGAATTTCCAGCAGTCACCGCTCAGGAGATACAGGAGGCGGTGCGAGGAGCGAAAGCAGGGAAAGCACCCGGAGAAGACGGTATACCAAACTCTCTCTGGCACAAGCTTATCGAGATACCGGTGGTTCTAGAAACAGTGGTCCAGTTATTCAACGCATGCATAAAAACGGGCTACAACCCGTCACATTTCCAGCGCTCAATCACGGTGGTGCTCCGGAAGCAAGGCAAAAGCGACTACCAGCTCGCAAAATCTTTCAGACCCGTCGCGTTGCTGAACACGCTCGGGAAGTTTTTGGAGGCAGTTGTCGCGCGACGGATCAGCTACGCAGCAGAAACCAATGGCTTGCTCCCACGTAGCCATCTAGGCGGACGAAAGGGCATATCCACCGATCATGCTATCCACATCATCATCGACCGAATCAAAACCGCATGGGGAAAGGGCAAGCCAGTGGTATCTCTGCTGATGCTGGACGTGTCCGGAGCGTACGACAACGTCTCCCATGAACGTCTACTACACAACCTCAAAAAACGTCGCTTGGGACATTTCGTTCCCTGGGTGAGGGCCTTCTTGACCAATAGAAGCACAAGAATCCGTATGCCCGAGGGCACATCCGGCCGAATCCCGACGCCAACAGGCATCCCTCAAGGATCACCGATCTCACCCATTCTATATCTCATCTACAACGCAGACCTCGTTGAGAACTGCGCTAACGGTGTGAATAGCAACGGGTGGGTCGACGATGTTTGCTTCATGACAAAGGGAGACAGCGAACGCGAAACCATCAAGAAACTCAGAGCGGCATGCCGCAAAGCCGACCAATGGGCCGAGAAGCATGCATCAGTTTTTGACCCGAAGAAGTATGCACTCGTGCATTTTGTAAACACCAGGGAAGTCGACCCACAATACACATCGCTGTCTCTACGAGGGCACACCGTGACAGCGACGAGGACAGCTGAGCGGTACCTAGGCTATTGGCTGGATCCGGGTCTAGAATTCCACCATCACCGCGAGAAAGCGGTGACCAAGGCCGGCGTCTCTCTCCACGCACTACGAAGCTTGGCGGGTTCAACGTGGGGAGCCTCACTCTATGCAATGCGGAAGATCTACCAAGCGGTGATCATCCCGCAGATGCTCTTTGGGGTTTCCGCGTGGTATCAACCTACGCTCATCAGTAATTACAAAGCACGCACAATCAGTCAGCCTTTCGCGGCAATACAAAAACAGGCAGCATGCCTGATCAGTGGGGCTTTCAAAAGTACGGCAGCCGAAGCACTGAATACCGAGCTTCACCTACCGCCTATCTCTGTTCACATGAACCGACTGGTGAAAGAAACGGCCCTTCGACTACGAACAGGACCAGAGTCCGCTGTCCCACCAACGATGTTACGTCGCCGACCGGCAGATGAGAGAGACTGGGCTGGATGGACACCAATGGAGGCGCAAGCTTGGAAGGCGGGCGGATGTCTTACGGCTCCCCCGAATACTTTGACAAGAGGATGGGAGAGTCGAAAGGCATTCGTCCTGGCACCATGGCAAGCGCCACCAGAGGTGATCATCGAGGACAGAGAAGCTGCGGTTAACAATCACAACCAAATCCTGACGAAAGACCCAGGAGCAAGACCCTTGATTCTGTACACTGATGGGAGCGGAATTGATGGAAAGATCGGAGCGGCAGCGGTCGTGGGCCTTGAGGATCAACATGTTCACAGCCAGATGGGAGACGATAATACGTCCACCGTATATGCGGCAGAACTTCGAGCCATTGAGATGGCTCTTGAAATGGTTCTGGAAAGCACAGAGCCATGGGCTAAGCAGGCGAAGAACGGGATAGTCATCTTTGTAGACAGCCAAGCAGCGCTGAAGGCGCTGAGGCGACCGGGGATGCCGTCAGGACAGATCTATCTAGCAGGATGCCTCGGCCTGATCCAGCGGCTTGCTGGCAGATGCGTCCGAGTTGAGCTCAGATGGATTCCTGCGCACCAAGGGGTCATTGGCAATGAGATTGTGGACCAACACGCAAAAGAAGCAGCCCAAAAACCGGACGGCCCACAGAACCCTCACGATCGAGGTATATGCCTCGCAGCCGCAGCGAAACGGCGAATCCGCAGAGAAGCGAAGCTGGAGTGGGGCAGGACGTGGGTCAAGGAAACGACCAGTCGACCGACAAAACGCTTGATTGAAGCACCAACCAAGAAGACGCTAGAATACTGGTCGGGCCTGCGAAAAGCAACGGGCTCGATTCTGATGCAGCTTAGAACTGGGCGAATTGGCCTAGGGGCTTACCTGAATCGTATCAACCGACGCGAAACAGCGCGGTGTGACTGCGATCTTGGCAGCCAAACAGTAACACACGTCCTGCTGGAATGCCCCTCGCACCAGGACGAGCGAGACTGGATGAGAAGCGCTCTTTCCGACAAGGGAATTACTCTTAGTCGAGACGAACTCCTGACACGACCGGAGGCTCGCACGGCTGTGGCCGAATTCATGGTCAAGACTGGCCTCCTAGGCCAATTTCAGACAGTCGACCCTACGGCTCTGGGCGAGGAAGGGGACGACCAAGGAGCGGAGATAATGATCCCTTAGACAGTGTGACGGAAGAAGAAGGATGGCGCCCATTAGGAGTACAGTGCCAGGTCCACTGTACTCCCTTGATCCAAGCGAGCGCGCAAGCGGCAGCCAACAAGACTGGACAGGTGGAGAGAAGAGGGCGTGGAAATGCTGTGTTGAAGCGGGGCCCTGGTCCTACCCGCGACCAGGGGTAAATGACGTACAAGTCGGCTTTGTGTTTATCATGTTTGCATCTGTGCATTTCTTTTGTTTGGTTTACATCTTTCGATTCGAGGACGATTGATCAGAAACTCGCAAGGCGAGTTCCCTGACGGTCGCCCAGTGGGCTGGTGACCACCTTCCAGCTGTCGGCAGGCCTGACAGCACTCCCGCATAGCAGCATATATATAGAGCGAGCTACATCGGGCAAATGAATACATCATCATCATCATTGTTTACCTAGAAACTAATTGACCAGGTTAACTACCAGTCGAATCACCACACTTTTTTATGCAATTTGGTTACCAAATATCTAATTACCTGGTCCCAGCATTTTCTGTCCGCAATATTCTACTTTCCCACTTTCCAGTTATATTGAACTGTTCTTTGATTAAAGTAGCATTTTCTTCTGTGGTATTGTTTAATTTTTATAAGCTTTGAGGCTGGCTATTCAATTTGGGCGTTCACCCACGAGTAACGGATGGGTCACCACACCCAGCCACCATCACTCAGCCCCTCTTTTTCCAGAGGTGAGCTCTCTGGTCAGGCGAATAGTATGCAGTAGCCGTTCCAGCTGCATCATACATGAGGGTGTAGTCTCCGCCAGGAGATAAGGAAAGAATGTTTGCTCTTCAACACATAGTTAATGGCATCTTTAAATAGCATACTTTCTAATTCGTTAGTGGTTTTTGACCGGCTATTAGTGTTGAACAAAAAGGGGGGCAACCCCGTGTCATAGACACGGTCAAACAGGACTATTCAGGTGCTCCAACAATTAGAGACCTCTCAATGTACGCTTTTCCTCTTACGGTATTATAAACAGAGTGCTGTTTTAATTCGATTAGGAAATAGATCTGCGGACTGCCTATGGTACGAACCCCTTTACGCTCGCCGCGTCCCGAAAGCAACAATACGCATTTTATTGGAATCACTTGCCCCTTCAAAAGAAAACTTGGCTAATGCAAGAGATTTCTGAGCTCCTGCGAGCCTTTTGGCAACTTCAGAATATCTTCCGGTGCCAGCGTTTCTAAAGCAAAGAGATTCTGCCGCCTCGTATCCTCATAAAGAATGTGCTCGAAAGCTTGCTTCGCAGCCTTACTAATCTCCCGAAGAAGAGTTCCTTGCGATTCATCGAGGACCTTCACAAAACTTTCAAATGCCTCATCCGCCGGAGCAAGAATACTTGCATGGTCAGTTTGCATTCCGTCACAATTCCAATAGAGAGATAGACTCACATTTTATCGATAATCACGGGGCCCGCCACGTCATCGGACCGATCGAAATGAAGTAGGCTTAGAACAGCATCCCCAAAGCAGTCCGCTAAAATGTGTAGACGTTGTCCAAATTTTCGAAATCCCAACATTGTTCGGCGCTTGTTCTTGTAAATAGCTGAGTCAGGTTCCAGGTCTGGGAAAATATTCTTCATCATTTTGTTAACTGCTATAGCCACTTCAATCTTCCTCGGGTTGCCTCTTGCTCTCGGCCGACCATTGAGCTCATCGTGTGACGCTGCCTCTATAGCAAAATTCGAAGTGCGCCCGACAGATACGCCGGTGCGTCGGTAGAGATGCAAGATATGATTACATCGTAAGATCTGGAGGAATGCCGCGTTGTCTTGAATTTCACCGATGATTTCGAAGCGTTCGTGATTTGTTAGGTCACGTGATACCCATCTTCGGCTTTGGACGCTGTGCCGCTGTTCCCCTATCTCTCTCGTGTATTTCAGGGCCGCCCGAAGAGCAACAAGTGATTGAGAGCCACCGACCAGTACTAAAAATGTACATAGACTGGAAAAAATTCCTGGACCCAGATTTAGTAGCCTGTTCTCAATTTTGGGCATGAAATAAGTGTCTTCTGGAAGCGGCAAACCCAGAGCCCGAGTCATTTCAGCTTCTCGACACAATGATGATCTGAAGTCAACATCAACACATTTAGACTTTCTCTTTTGTATTTCCATACCCCTAGGGCCTTTCCGCTTGCAAGGGAAACGCCGACTTGAGGATTGTTGGTTCGCGGGCTGGCCTGAGAAGCCATCTGGCTGGCACAAGTCAACATTAAACGTGAGATGATCGTGTACTCTGAGAGGAAGAGCATGCTGTTCAGCTTGTTTAGGCGGGATCTCCACCTCATCAAGTCTTCCATGGTGCATTTCTTGATGCGCAAAAGGATGACAAAGTTCAAGCACCTGCCTCTCCAACGCCGGTCGACCTGAGTCTTCGGTTAAAGGAGACTGCGAACGCGGGCTAGTGAAAGAAAGTCCATCTGGAAGGATATCTTTCAACAGTCCGTTCTCATTGTAAAGGCTTTCAAAGTTAGACAAACCCCCTAGATCTGGAATGGTCGGAAAATCCGGTAAAGGGGGAATCTCTTGACTCCAAACATCGATTTCACTAGTCTGGGCAGGGTCACTCCCCACCAAGGAAGGCATAAGCAGCAGATCACTTTGCTCATCTTTGAATATTCCCATCAAGCTAAACTCGTCAATGTTCTCGTCCAGGACACTATGCGCAATTAGAGATTGATCCGACATATTCTTGGGGTTACCAGAGTAGTCTTACCCCAGGGAATAAAGACCCTTGGCCACGGACATGAAACATTTTTTTCTGAGGTATATAGCTCCAATAAGGGCACTTGTTGCTATGGCAAGAACCCCTGACGAGCGAGCGCCAGGCCGACAATCAAACTTCAAGTGCTTATCAATGCCAGTACGCTTTGCAATGTCGGCACGGTGTTGGATACCGTTGACGCGGGATTTGAGTTTCGATGTAAAATCTCGAGTGTGTCAGTTTGGAAAGGCTTGCGAATAGATTGCCAATATATACCTCGAGATAACGCAATAAAAGCAACGCTGGAATCAATCAAGAACCCGGTCGCCGCCAAACCTAACTGGGCTAATATTCTGTTTCCATCCGGCAAAAGTTCGTCTACTCCAGCAGCGGTAAGCGCAACGTCTATTTCCGATTCGGTTAACTCTGGACATGCGACCAGCTTTCGAATGAACTCCACAGAATCCTTGCTCATGTCGAATGTACGAATAATAAGACAAAGAAGACAGTCGTGATAATGTGTCAGATCCACTGATTATGAATTCCGGCAAAGGCGGTTTTTGACATCAGTTGTTAAGTATTTATAGAAAGATGGCCATGCTGGCGAAAGAAAATTGTGGCGCCTCCAGCAAACCGTGCGTCTGGCCGACTGGACACTATCTTGCATACAAGAGCGCATATACACGTCGCATAACGTGATTGGTGTCAGACTGAGAAAATTTGGCAATGGGAATGATGATGATGATGATGTATTCATTTGCCCGATGTAGCTCGCTCTATATATATGCTGCTATGCGGGAGTGCTGTCAGGCCTGCCGACAGCTGGAAGGTGGTCACCAGCCCACTGGGCGACCGTCAGGGAACTCGCCTTGCGAGTTTCTGATCAATCGTCCTCGAATCGAAAGATGTAAACCAAACAAAAGAAATGCACAGATGCAAACATGATAAACACAAAGCCGACTTGTACGTCATTTACCCCTGGTCGCGGGTAGGACCAGGGCCCCGCTTCAACACAGCATTTCCACGCCCTCTTCTCTCCACCTGTCCAGTCTTGTTGGCTGCCGCTTGCGCGCTCGCTTGGATCAAGGGAGTACAGTGGACCTGGCACTGTACTCCTAATGGGCGCCATCCTTCTTCTTCCGTCACACTGTCTAAGGGATCATTATCTCCGCTCCTTGGTCGTCCCCTTCCTCGCCCAGAGCCGTAGGGTCGACTGTCTGAAATTGGCCTAGGAGGCCAGTCTTGACCATGAATTCGGCCACAGCCGTGCGAGCCTCCGGTCGTGTCAGGAGTTCGTCTCGACTAAGAGTAATTCCCTTGTCGGAAAGAGCGCTTCTCATCCAGTCTCGCTCGTCCTGGTGCGAGGGGCATTCCAGCAGGACGTGTGTTACTGTTTGGCTGCCAAGATCGCAGTCACACCGCGCTGTTTCGCGTCGGTTGATACGATTCAGGTAAGCCCCTAGGCCAATTCGCCCAGTTCTAAGCTGCATCAGAATCGAGCCCGTTGCTTTTCGCAGGCCCGACCAGTATTCTAGCGTCTTCTTGGTTGGTGCTTCAATCAAGCGTTTTGTCGGTCGACTGGTCGTTTCCTTGACCCACGTCCTGCCCCACTCCAGCTTCGCTTCTCTGCGGATTCGCCGTTTCGCTGCGGCTGCGAGGCATATACCTCGATCGTGAGGGTTCTGTGGGCCGTCCGGTTTTTGGGCTGCTTCTTTTGCGTGTTGGTCCACAATCTCATTGCCAATGACCCCTTGGTGCGCAGGAATCCATCTGAGCTCAACTCGGACGCATCTGCCAGCAAGCCGCTGGATCAGGCCGAGGCATCCTGCTAGATAGATCTGTCCTGACGGCATCCCCGGTCGCCTCAGCGCCTTCAGCGCTGCTTGGCTGTCTACAAAGATGACTATCCCGTTCTTCGCCTGCTTAGCCCATGGCTCTGTGCTTTCCAGAACCATTTCAAGAGCCATCTCAATGGCTCGAAGTTCTGCCGCATATACGGTGGACGTATTATCGTCTCCCATCTGGCTGTGAACATGTTGATCCTCAAGGCCCACGACCGCTGCCGCTCCGATCTTTCCATCAATTCCGCTCCCATCAGTGTACAGAATCAAGGGTCTTGCTCCTGGGTCTTTCGTCAGGATTTGGTTGTGATTGTTAACCGCAGCTTCTCTGTCCTCGATGATCACCTCTGGTGGCGCTTGCCATGGTGCCAGGACGAATGCCTTTCGACTCTCCCATCCTCTTGTCAAAGTATTCGGGGGAGCCGTAAGACATCCGCCCGCCTTCCAAGCTTGCGCCTCCATTGGTGTCCATCCAGCCCAGTCTCTCTCATCTGCCGGTCGGCGACGTAACATCGTTGGTGGGACAGCGGACTCTGGTCCTGTTCGTAGTCGAAGGGCCGTTTCTTTCACCAGTCGGTTCATGTGAACAGAGATAGGCGGTAGGTGAAGCTCGGTATTCAGTGCTTCGGCTGCCGTACTTTTGAAAGCCCCACTGATCAGGCATGCTGCCTGTTTTTGTATTGCCGCGAAAGGCTGACTGATTGTGCGTGCTTTGTAATTACTGATGAGCGTAGGTTGATACCACGCGGAAACCCCAAAGAGCATCTGCGGGATGATCACCGCTTGGTAGATCTTCCGCATTGCATAGAGTGAGGCTCCCCACGTTGAACCCGCCAAGCTTCGTAGTGCGTGGAGAGAGACGCCGGCCTTGGTCACCGCTTTCTCGCGGTGATGGTGGAATTCTAGACCCGGATCCAGCCAATAGCCTAGGTACCGCTCAGCTGTCCTCGTCGCTGTCACGGTGTGCCCTCGTAGAGACAGCGATGTGTATTGTGGGTCGACTTCCCTGGTGTTTACAAAATGCACGAGTGCATACTTCTTCGGGTCAAAAACTGATGCATGCTTCTCGGCCCATTGGTCGGCTTTGCGGCATGCCGCTCTGAGTTTCTTGATGGTTTCGCGTTCGCTGTCTCCCTTTGTCATGAAGCAAACATCGTCGACCCACCCGTTGCTATTCACACCGTTAGCGCAGTTCTCAACGAGGTCTGCGTTGTAGATGAGATATAGAATGGGTGAGATCGGTGATCCTTGAGGGATGCCTGTTGGCGTCGGGATTCGGCCGGATGTGCCCTCGGGCATACGGATTCTTGTGCTTCTATTGGTCAAGAAGGCCCTCACCCAGGGAACGAAATGTCCCAAGCGACGTTTTTTGAGGTTGTGTAGTAGACGTTCATGGGAGACGTTGTCGTACGCTCCGGACACGTCCAGCATCAGCAGAGATACCACTGGCTTGCCCTTTCCCCATGCGGTTTTGATTCGGTCGATGATGATGTGGATAGCATGATCGGTGGATATGCCCTTTCGTCCGCCTAGATGGCTACGTGGGAGCAAGCCATTGGTTTCTGCTGCGTAGCTGATCCGTCGCGCGACAACTGCCTCCAAAAACTTCCCGAGCGTGTTCAGCAACGCGACGGGTCTGAAAGATTTTGCGAGCTGGTAGTCGCTTTTGCCTTGCTTCCGGAGCACCACCGTGATTGAGCGCTGGAAATGTGACGGGTTGTAGCCCGTTTTTATGCATGCGTTGAATAACTGGACCACTGTTTCTAGAACCACCGGTATCTCGATAAGCTTGTGCCAGAGAGAGTTTGGTATACCGTCTTCTCCGGGTGCTTTCCCTGCTTTCGCTCCTCGCACCGCCTCCTGTATCTCCTGAGCGGTGACTGCTGGAAATTCGATCTGCTGTGGGTACTGGAATGAGTCTGTGTCGGATAGATCGGCTGGCGGCGGTTCGGGGAAGAAGGCAACCCGGAATGCCTCTGCTTTTCGTTCCACTGTTTCCGCGAGAGTTCCAGGTATTTGGGGATCTTGCATTTTCAGCGAAGGGGTGATACCCTTCTCGTAGGCCCCGTCTCGGTTCCTTGCCCATTTAGCCAATCGCCACATACCCTGTGGGCCATCTTCAACGACCTGCTGGACTCGGTGCCGGTGCGCTCTTGACAAGGTTTTCTTGACGAGTCGCGTTTTCTTGTTGCGTGCTTCCGAGTAGCACATCCAGTCGTAGGGGTCTTTGGTTTTCGTATGTCTGCGACGGAGGCGACGAACTTCTTTGACCGCAACTTTACACTCGTCGCCAAAGTCGGGGTTCGACCATGCGGATGGTTTTGCCCATGGGGTTGAATCCTCGATTGCTGACTGTATCACTCCCATCAGCTCCTGGCATGTGGCTTCTATCTTTTGCGGATCTGCCTGGTATAAGCCTCCTGTCTGTAGATCTCCTTCGATCTTCTGGATAAGTTTCTGATCATCAGTTGCGCTCCAGTTTCTTCTCTTCTGCTGTACGGCGACTGGTGTAATAATATCCAGCACAGTTCTGATCGGGAAATGGTCGGATGCATGTTCGATGTCATCCGCTCTCTCGCAATTGATAAGCCTGCTGACAAGGTTGGATGTGATGAAGGTGAGGTCAATCACTGACGACTGATCGTTTCGAGACCAGGTTGGTCTGCCTTGTTGGGTCGTCAACTCGAGTCCCCATTCATTGGCGATCTCTAGGAGTTGCTTGGCCTCTTGATCGGCCCTGGTCCCTGATCCTCCCCATCTCGGGTGATGCGCGTTCATATCTCCAAGGATGATGTGTTCTCCATGGGGACGTTTTGACAGCTCGTTTCTTAGATGTCTAAGGGTATTGTTGCCCGGCCTATTGTAGATGTTGTGTATGAAGAGATCTCTCCACTCTCTGCCCTGATGAGCCTTTCTGAGCTTCAGTAACTGGTAGTCCTGTGAGACGAGCTGACACGACCAAGTGCTCGGGTCAAGCCTTTTAGACACAAACAGGCATACTCCCGGTTGGGGGAGATCCGAGGCTTGGACCTGATCGTCCTGGCCTTGGGTTGATCCGCCGGCAGCTGCTTTTGGTGGGTAAATTAGCTGGAATGTTGCCGTCGCTGGTTGATGTGTTGTGTGTTGTAGTTCGTTCTTCCATGGCTCCTGCACCGCGACGACGTCCGCTGCGAGGACGTTTTTGTCTCTGAGAAACGTTGCCATCACTGGCCACGATTTGTGTACGTTATATTGAAGAATCTCAAACACTTTCATTGGTGAGTTTGCTCGTCATCACTTCGTTCGCTGGCCTCGTGCCATATTTCATCATTTGGGTCTTCGATTGTCGGTGTATCCGTCACAAAAATCGGCGGAGACGATCCGATTGGTATCGCTTGCCGCTGCCTGTATTTCAGAACCACCAATTTGCGGTATTCGGGTCCCTCCGGGTCCAGTTCCTCCTCGTCATCGGGCTCGGACGTGTTACCGGTCTCGTTGACAGTGGTGACCTCGTTGATGAATTGGGTAAGTTGGTGTTCCAGGCTATCCTGCTGAGTGTCAGGGTGGGGGAGATCGGCCGGAGTGGGTTGAATGCTGAGCCATTCATTGTCGTCTGGTTGCTCGTCCATGGTGTCGTCCGGCTCGCCTGTGCGGC